TAGCATCCTCTTTAACATCGAAAATGTTGCTTCTTTTTTTAACATACTTAAAAATGGGTGATTAACCCTTTTGTTTGTATAAAATAACAGCAGCTCTTAACATATTTCTGGCGAAATATGGCATCAACGTATACAATATTCAAGTTAAAATGTAATTTCTGCTTTTATTCAATTTTAAGAGTAATTCGAGAATAATTAAGAAACTAATTTTATTAGCTTGTTAATGATAATTGTGATTGTTTCTGGGAAATTTCCTTGAATAAAATGTAGAATACGATAATATATTTTCTATAATAATTTTTTTCTTCGTGCATGGCGGGTTTTTTACTTCTTAAGAATTGTCTTCTAGGGTTATAAATTAATGGAAGATTGTCGTGTAGGATTATGAAAAACTGTAAATAAGTTGAAATTACTTTTATACCTAGTTTTCCTATGTTATGAATCTATGATTCAAATGCATTTTGTATACAAACACGATGTACATTTGGTTCAAGGTTATGGCCATTGAGGACCCCGATAATTCTGTGCTTGCCCCCCCCCCCTCCGATTTCTTAATTTCTAATTCCCTGATTTCCGTGCCCCGGATTATTTAAAGGCCATTCAGATATTTAAAAATCATAATCATAAGATCATAAGCATCTTAACATAAAGCAATTTTTTATGATTTGCTAATTTTTATTGTTATGGAGGAGATACCAGGGGATAGTGTATTCACCTCCCTATGAGGTTCGAATCCTAGCGACGGCAGATGGATACGAACTCTGCTCACTTCTCGCACTGACCACAGTGCTAACGTAAAATATCCTCAATGGTAGACAGATCAGGCGTTCGAATCCCCATGCCGTGAGGCTAACCGGGCGTGGTTTTCCTCTAAATGTGACGAAAATGTCTTCTAATTGTGACTAAAGGGTTAGTTCCATTAAAAAGTCCTTCAAGAAAGATTGTTGGTCCCCCGTGCTTAATCCAGGAGTTCTCTTGTCTTCTGGGTTGGGTTCAAAAATTATAAGGCCACGTAGTTAACATGGATAATCGAAAACTCAGAATTGGGCCGGCTGTTTGACGTCAGTTATAAAACATTGTAAGACACTCGCTTTATAAGAGGGAAGTTTTAATTTTAAAAAAAATCTTGCCAAAGCATTGGGGAGAGTTGATGAGTGAGAACTAAAAACACTTTACTCAAAAAGTCTATCAGTGTTTAATTATTTACGCACAATTACCTTTCTATCCAGGGAAAAGCATTTCCGACTACGACCACTCCCTTGAAAATATTCAACAATTGAAAGTATTTCGTAGACAACGTGTGTAGGATACTGAAGGCCAAATAAAACAAAACACAGATATGCGTGATCATCTCTTGTCGAAGTGACCTTTTCGTGCGCTGACATTATTTTCAATATGCATTCTCTCAGATTATATAAAAAAAAGAAAGAAAAAAAAAATCCTTACTTTGAAATATGATTGGCACAATTGTTTAAGTAATTTGATAGGTACTACACACAGGCTGTGTAAACATTTAACCTTATTAAGTTTTTTAAATGATATCATTCGTTATCTCTAATACAATACTGACTTATAACTTGACTATATAAGTTTCATAAGATATGATGCTCCTTAGATATACATTGATTTTAACGATTTATACGAATATTTTCATCGAAAAAAAAGGTGCATAATTATTTTCAGGGAAAGAAGAGAAAGATAAAAACAGAAGCTTTACTTTAAAAAAAAGAATGAACTGGGTGCTCATTTTTATTTGATGTTTTCTGTTTAATCTCTTGCTTCATGTATATTTTATTTGAACACATGATTACCGGATTGCATTCTGGAATTCAATAAAAATGAGTTAAAACTGCAATGAAATTGAGAAAATGATTTTAAAATAAATTACTATTTTAATTTTTAAGAATCAATCGCTTTTGAAAAAATAAAATCTTTCATTTAAAAGAAATCAATTATGAAAACTTGTGATAATGTTTAGAACAATTTACGACATTCTTTTAAAAGCTACTCCACAGAAAAAAGAACTATCACCCTGAGTAATTTTTACCTAATTATCGGATTGTCATGCACTAAGTTACAATTTTCACATTTTGGAAAACATGTTAATTAACTTGTACAAATTAAGTATAAATTACCTTTATTTGAATAAGCATACTTTTTTTTAATGGACATGTCAATTTGTGACAAAGATGACCCTATTTTTATTTATGTGTTTTTTTTTCAAGCTATATCTCCTCAATTAATAATGCCAATTAAAAACATTTTGAACAGAATCTTAAAACTTTTTCACTTATAATTTTATTGCAAAAGAATCCGTTTTATTTTACTCCACAGAAAAAAGATCTATCACCTTGTAGTCATTTTTACCTAATTATTGGATTGTCATGCACTAAGTTACAATTTTCATATTTTGCAAAGCATGTTAATTAACTTGTACAAATTAAGTATAAATTTCTTTTATTTGAATAAGCATACTTTTTTTTATTGGACATATTTCAATTCGTGACGAAGCCGACTAAATTTTTATTTATATTTTTTTTTTCAAGCTATATCTCCTCAATTAATAATGCCAATTAAAAACATTTTGAACAGAATTGTAAAACTTTTTCACTTAAAATTTTATTGCAAAAGAAGACGTTTTTATTGATAAATAAGCTTTTTTTCGTCCAACAGATCTGCCAGTTGTTTTAAGCCAGAATTTAGAATAAGGAAGCAACTGTTTAGTTAGTTTACAAAAAAAAAAAAATCAGTTTTTCAGTTAAAAATCTTATACTTTTATTTTTCTTTGAGAACTGGGGTGTAAACGTACAATTTAAAATTAAGTTTCAAACTTATTAGAATGTTTATGCAACATATATTCAATTTCTAACTATAAATTTATATCAGTATAATATGCATTTATGAATATTAATTATTAGTTTTGATCTTTCAACTTCTATTCATTTTTTGAACATACTAATATCTTTAATTCTATCTAAGGTTTAGTTATTTGGCTAGGGATATCCTATTGTTTTTTATTTTTTAATCAATTTATCGACTTCCGAAATCATATGCTTTTTCATCTTTTGTTTTTGACCTCTATTTTATTGGCAATCCTCCTAGACGGGAATTCTTAAAAAAGAAACTGAATTTTCCTATGCAGTAATTATTGATAGTTGTTCATCTAACAAGTTCCCAAATAATAATGTACATCTAACAGTAAATTTATTTTTGCTTGAAATCTGTATTTAAAATAATTTTAAAATAGAGATTTATATTTACATAAACTTCTTTGAAATATTGAACTTTCCTAGTGTATTTTACTATTTCTGTGAAAATCCAAAATCTCTGTATATTTGTACAAAATAATGTATGAAATGGAAGTTATAAGTATTAATTTAGGATCATTAGAAATCTTTAGAAAGGAATAAATACTATTTTAACTTCTGATATTTCTATGGAATTTGTAATAAATATGAATTGGTTATTTAATTAAAATCAACTGTAAGCGTTTTTTTTTTTTTTTTTTTTTTTTTTTTTTTTTTTTTTTTTTTTTTTTTTTTTTTNTTTTTTTTTTTTTTTGGAGAATGCGTTTTATTTTAATTGTTTTTTATTTTTTTGGTTGAAAATGTGTTTTATTCTAATTGTTTTTTATTGTTAATGGTACTGTTTATTTGATTTTTTTCTGATTTTATTAAATATTCCTACAAAATATTTATTATTACTATTGCTATTATTTTTTATGTTAGAAAAGGCAACAACAAACATAACATCAAATGTTAATTTAAAAACTGTAATGCTCTTCACAATTGTGCTTCTGTATTTTTTGCATAAAGATAATAACATTATATGAAAAGCAACTTCAATTACAATTGACACATTTTACAATTGTTTTTAATAACTTGATATAAATTATTGCACAATAAGCAATTTTATTGTTTGATTTATTTCACCCCTACTTTGTGCTACATTATGATATTGTTGAAGTGTAAAAATAAATAAATAAAAACTCTTCTCCTGAAGTGAAAAATTTAGGATGCATCTGGGTGCGAAAGTTTGAATTTATTTATTTTTTGTAGATGATTAGAAAAGATAAGTTTTTGAGCTATGAAATGAATGCTTGAATATGCTGCTTAATTTAATAAGCCACACACCAATAGAGAGATCTTCACAATTCATTGTTTTTCGAAAAGTTTATTCAAAATTATAAAGATTAAAAGCTCAATTTAATATATATTGCTTAAAAGGGAACCATATCCTCTGTTCAGCTGAAATTCCTCATTAAGAAAAGTTAGTGTGTGTTTTGTCTATAAGATATTGCAAGAGAAAAGTATTGATGGTATTTTTGCATTCCACCATCAGCCATTCATTTTTAAAAAATATCCTTGTCTTGTCACATTGTATAGGTATTTTTTAAAAATTGTGTTTTCCTCAAAGAAGATTAGGTTAAAATTCATGTTGCCGTATCAGAGTTAGGAATTATAAGTGTTTGCATAATTTTGTATTTTATTCCAGTAGGATGTGTCGGCTTTTCGAAGTTCGAATTTTAATAAATGCTATTAGCAGTTGGATTTTTGGTCAAAAAGTTAAGTAATTTTGTTTTAAATAGAGATTTTTTTTTGCAACCTAAAGCTAAGTTCTTAAGCTTTGTTTTGCACAATCTAAATTTAAATCAAACTATTAAAAGTTTGTTTTTATAAAAGGTTTACAATTTTTGGAGAGTGTTACAAATTTTTAGTTATCTAAATAAGTTACCAATTTTTTTATAATTGGGATTTACGCTAACAACGCTATTGAAAAAAAAATTTTACGCTAATTAAAATAAAACATTTTTTTTGAACCATTGATAATTAATTAAATTTGAAAAAGCTGTTTCAAGTGCAATTTATTTATTTCACAGAAAACTATGAAATTGTGCAAAACTATTTATACTTGGTATAATTTGGGTGTTAATTTTCAAATTTCAACCATGTTTATTTATTTTTGAAGTAGAATATTTATAAACTTTAATTGTTTTCTAGCCATTGTCCTCAAGCCAAACACACTGCAGTTGCAGATACTCCAGAAATTAGAAGGCTAGCCGAAAACACAAAACTGCAAAGTAATGTAAGTAGCTCCAATGAAAATATTATTAAAAAAGTATAATAAATGTCAATTATTTATTTTTTTTTTTAAAAAAATCTATCGTAAATACAGCAAATTCCCGTATTAAGAATGTTTTGAAAACAGGAAGCATTTTATTATTTATTTTAGTGGAGTATAGAATAATTATTGATTTTATACATACATCTTTAAATGATAAATTAATCAACCATAATTTACTAGTTAGGAAATTTTTATTATACTTTCTGGAAAATGTTAGTTCCTTTTAATAGGTTTATGTTCTAAGTAAAAAAAATGTGGTATTTTTAGTTATCTAGATGCATGTTATTTTTCAAAAAATATCTTTGATATAAGTGTATTAGATATAATATATTTTTCACTTATAACAGGTTATTATAAATATTACTTTTAAGCAAGAGTCAACAAATCTCTGGTGACCAATCGCCATAATGTCTAAAAAAATCTAATATTTTATTAAAATTTTACAAGATTTTCTTTTTTTTATCTGAAGTTTTTTACTTTTTAAAATAAAATTTTTTTTTTTTTTCTAAGCAAAACTTTTTACCAGAACATTCTTAAATACTCCTGTTATATCAAATTGTATGACATATTCACCTGATCATAGTTCCTATTTATCATGCGCTGGATATTTTTTATTGTTGTTACTTATTTTTAAGTAATATTAAATTAAAAGTAGAAATGATCTTAATGTAATTTCACAGGGAAAAAACTATTACCTTAATTTTCATTCCGCAACTTGCTGACTCCTAAAAATAAGTCATCGATGAATTTTTGTACACCCTTGTTTTTAACATAAAAGATGTTGTGTTATAGTTATAAATTTCAGTAAGTAGAGTATAGGATTTAAGTACTGCCGAGTACTGTACTTTCCGACTCTTAATCCTTACCGAGTTTCTTAAACTGAACTTCTAGACGACAGAGATTGTTATATGGAGCGTTGGCTGTCGTAAAAGTTAGAATATTAAAATCTGGTACATACAAAAGGCCAAAACTGACTGAAAAACATTTGGCATTCTCTTGTTAAAAGGAACCTCAGAGCTTAGAATAGTAACTATTGATTAATTAGTAAAACTATAAAATGAAGCAAGTCAAACAAGAAGTTAAGCTTTTTCGTATATATATAT